CCCCCCCCCCCATGTCCGATTACACACAACAAGTTTTAGGTATGTGCAGTCAAGTTGCTTCATTGAACCCCAGTCAACTTTTAATTTGAGAGCTAGTTATTAAGCTATTTATGATATTTCTTTAGCATTATAACCATTTTGTTATCTGTCTTTTTATCTTCTTAACTGTGAACCATTAAGCATTTTCAGCTGACATTTTATATAAAAAGTTGCACTGGTTGGAAAGAATTGAGCTGGAAATGTTTCACTTGCCTTTCCACTAATGGCAATATGGGGAATATGTGACACCTGGTTCTAGCTCCTTTCTGGCATTTGTTTAAAATGTTCTTTAGTATGTTTTTGTCTTAGTGGGCTGGCATCCAATCAGATGAAACCTGTGTTACTTTTTATCTCTTGAATCTATCTTTGTGCTTCATATATTTATGTTCTTCACTTTATATTTTATGACTGTAATGTTTTAATGTAAATCTGTGACAGTGAATATATATGTTATCTCTGGCAAATAGGCTATTTTCCAAGAAGCAGGTGTGCAAGTAGAAGCTTATGTAGGAAGTATCTCTCCTGCTGTCCGCTTTTCTGCCTTGGATGTTGCTGTCTGTACTATTGAGAGAGCCAATGGTTTGATCAACAGACTCATAGAACAGAAAGCACTGGATTCACTAGGTAAGCTATGAGAACATTTCAATAATGCCAACAAGTGAGAAACTAAATGGTTTACCACTTGACCACCTGTTGCTGTTGTGTGCTCACCTGTGCAGTTTATATTTCTTTAACAAATGGGATTGTATTTAAATAATTTGATTTAAAACTGATATCCTAGGAGGTAGATCCATAAAAGAGCAAGCATGGCATAGTGGTTTGAGTGTTGCATTATGACTCTGTAGATCTGGGTTCGATTCCCTGCTCAGCCATGGAAACCCATTGGGTGACCTGGGGTGAGTTACACACTCTGAGCCCCAAAAAAATGCATGATGGTGTTAGGGTCTCCATAAGAAATGACATGAAGGCACACAACAACATAGCCCCCAAATCTGAATATGTTAATCCTGGATACATGACTTAGCTTTATGTTTAAATGTCTGGGCGTGTCTACATTTGATTATTTAGCAAAGCTAGAGTACCAACTTTTAGTTCCAAAAAAATATGTTAGGATGTAACCTGTGGATTTAAATGTTTTGCAGGCTTTCCATGTTTATGTAAGTAAAGTAAAGTAAAGTACTCCACTATTGTAACCTTATGCATACAAATGTATTTTGGAACAGTTCATGGACCTGATACTTGCATGAGGACACATAAAGTAGTATTACTGTCTTAGAGAAACTTGATTTTCAAACAGAATTCAATAACATACAACAAAAAGTGAAAAGTAACATTCAGACTGCATAGTCATGGTAGAATGCATAATTTGTAGAAGTATGCAAAATATGGAAAGGATGAATAAAATGTTTTTATCCTTTAAAAATATACAACAGCACCTGTTTTCAGAGGTAGAAAGAGAAGGGCAGAATACAATGAAAAGAATCTATGAAGAAATTAGAATGAAAATTGATCTGTTTATATGCTCAGAAAAACATTCTGCATTGTAAGGATACATCCTACTTGTTTTCCAAATGGTCTGGGAAGGAGTAAATACAGTACAGTAATTTGCTACATTGAGTCACAGTTAAACATATTACATCAATTTGTAACAATTATTCTTTTGAACTTCAAACACCTGCTTTAGAATCTATTTGCAAAGTGGTAATAGAAATAAAAAATAAATTGTAGATTAGCATATACCCTGAGGATGATTGGAATGAATTGTAGAGCATGGGCCTTTACAGACTGCCAGAAATAATCCATCTTGAGACCACTTTAATTGTCCTGGCTCAATGTTAGGGAATCATGGGAATTGTATTTTTTTCTGAGACATTGAGCCTTCTCTGTCAGAGAGCTCTGGTGCTACAATAAAGTACAGTTCCCATGATTCCCTTGAATTGAGCCAGGGCAGTTAAAGTGGTCTCAGGCTGGATTATTTCTAGCAGTCTGTTCAGGCCCTGAGTCTGGTCAACCAAAGTGTCTCTCTCTCTCTCTTTCTCACTTTTTTTCTTTTTTGGATGTAAGAATCAATTTATTAATGCAGCTCTTACTTTTTAGCTGCCTTAATGTTACATTGGTTTTCTGACTTATAGGAATCTGCTCAGTTGTCACATGTACAAAAGATGTGAGAGATGCATAGTCTGAATGGTCTCAGAGAAAGTGTCCTAAAATTTTCACATATTCAATATTGAGAGAAATAAAAGGTGCCCTTACCTGACTTGTCTATTAAATATTAAGGTGTCCTATTCTTATCCTTCCAATACGTGGTCCCATCCCCAGATCAGGTGGTTCTGGTTTTGCTATCTAACCCCGATATATTAGTTTCTTTTCAATATTTCTCTAGGCTGTCCAGTGTTCTCTGGAGGGTTTACTAAACAAGAACAATAAAAATGGCAACAGAAAATTGACCACATTTGTAGTTTTCCTAATACTTTCTTTCAGCTGGGGATGTTTTAAGAAATGTACGATTTCTTTGTATCCGAAATTTTAATATTTTAGCTAGTGTAGAAGCAAAAGTATTTCAAATGATTTTCACAGTTCAAAGTATGTGTGCTTTAGAATCTGCTTAGAAGAACAGTTTTAAAAGTATAATAAATTAAATGCCTGTAAACCTCTTCCTTCTGTTTAATAGGAATAGTGGTTGTGGATGAGTTGCACATGTTGGGAGATTCTCAAAGAGGTTATCTCCTGGAACTCCTGCTGACAAAAGTTTCCTTTTTAGCTGAAAAAATGAACAGGTGAGTAAAAACCATTAAAGAAAACATTCATCTCTTTAAGATCTGAAATCTCTTGTTTTAAAACAAAATATAAATTAGGTTTGCTGTGTCAGATTAAAATGTTTAAAAGGCTCCTTTTGCAATGAGAGAGATTTTGGATACATAATAGCTTTCTCTCTATTGCCTACTGGCTGCCTCTCAGCTTGAATTCTGTTAAATTACCAGTTCCATTTAGATATCTTTTCTAGGTGGATCATTTTGGCATGGATTAAGGCCAAGTGAACTGATTTGGGTAAAGAATTCAAAGACATAGTGTGGAATATCCCTTTGCATACTGATTTGGGTGAACCCTCCAACAGGAATGTGACACAGTTAAGTCTGTTTTTAAAAACTCATTTTAAAATCAACATTTAGGACATTTCAGTTTAATTTCATTTCTCCAGTTCTCAGGTTTTTAGTAGGAAATCTGATTTGTCAACATTTCCCTTCAACCACAAGCATTATATCTGATAGAAAAGATGAAAATATTGGGATAATTTCAGAAATTACTGCAGAATGATGAAATTCAAAATATTGCTGTAGGAATGTCCAAGATCATGGCATACTTTCTCTTTTTGGACTAGCACAGTCAGATTGTACAGTGGTACTGCCAGGTTTGAAGAGGCCCTGGACAAGAATGAAATATGCAGATGTAGGATATATGACACCTGGCCTGATGGCAGTACATATGAAAGAGATCTAGGAGTCTTAATAGACCACGCGCTGAATGTAAGTCAGCAATGTGATGCGGCAGCTAAAAAAAATAAATGCAATTCTAGGCTACACCAATAGGAGTATAGTGTTTAGATCAGTGGTTCCCCAAATGTTGGTTGTCCACATGTTTTGGACTTCAGCTTCCAGAATTCCTGACCATTGGACAAGCT